CCCCCAGACACACGTACATGTGCATGCCAGCACATGTAGACACTGAGGCAACCAAGGCTCAGCACCACCTCCCAGCCCTAAGCATGGGCAAAGGCACACCCAGCACATGGGAAAAGGAGACACGTGCTCCCCAACCTTGCTCAGCCTCTTCCAAAGCACCTTGCAGGGTGCAAACACCTTCATGGGTCCATCCCCTGCTGCCAAGGAGCACCCGTACATGTGCATGCCAGCACATGTAGACACTGAGGCAACCAAGGCTCAGCACCACCTCCCAGCCCTAAGCATGGGCAAAGGCACACCCAGCACATGGGAAAAGGAGACACGTGCTCCCCAACCTTGCTCAGCCTCTTCCAAAGCACCTTGCAGGGTGCAAACACCTTCATGGGTCCATCCCCTGCTGCCAAGGAGCACCGAGGCAGTGCGGCTGCCTTACCGCTGGCCCAGGACCGGCGCTGAGCAGCCTCTTGCAGGAAATGCTGGATGAGAGCGTTGCCCGTGGCCAGGCTGTAGTGTGCAGCATCGTGACCAGTGGAGTCCACCACAGCCACCCGGGCACCGGCATTGACGAGCACCTCCACCGTCTCCACGCTGCCATTCTCACAAGCCAGCATCAAGGCTGTCCTGAGCAGAGTTGTGAGAGGAGAAGTGAGGGGGGCCCATTCTCTCCATCTCCCCATCCATTCCCAGCCCCCACCAGTGCACACTCACCTCCCCTGCAGGTCCCGGCTGTTGACAGCCGCGCCGCGGTGCAGCAGGTACCGGCACAGCTCCGAGTGGCACATCTTGGCCGCAAGGATCAGCGGCGTGGAGCCATCCTGGGCAGGGTCAGGTTGGGTGAGGCTGCGCAGATGAGGCTGAAACCCCCCCATGGGCCACCCTGCTCCCATGGTATCCCAGATTACACTCACCTCCCCTGCAGGTCCCGGCTGTTGACAGCCGCGCCGCGGTGCAGCAGGTACCGGCACAGCTCCGAGTGGCACATCTTGGCCGCAAGGATCAGCGGCGTGGAGCCATCCTGGGCAGGGTCAGGTTGGGTGAGGCTGCGCAGATGAGGCTGAAACCCCCCCATGGGCCACCCTGCTCCCATGGTATCCCAGATTTCCACATCCCACTTCATGGTGCATTTTCAGCTGCTGCCTTCCACCCCAGAAGCTGCTGCATTTCAGAGGCAGCCCCAGCCTGGCCCCTTGCTGCTCTACACAGTGTGGCAGGGCGAGGAGCAGAGGGATCTCACCTTGTCCTTGGTGTTCAAGGAAGCCTTGAAATCACAGAGGATCTCCGAGCACGAGATGCAGCCGCTGACCGCTGGGGAGAAGGACAGAGGCTGAGCATGTCACCTCCCACAGGGATGTGAGCAGGACAGGGCTGGTTCCGTCCCCACTCACCTGCGTGGTGCAGCGCTGTTCGGCCACTGCTGTCGGCCACATCCACAGGGCAAGAGGCCTGAGGGACAGAGCCTGAGTTACAAGGAGGACAAGGGACAGCGGGACAGCCTGCTCCAGTGGACACAGCTCCTTGGCATGGTGGAGGGCAGCACCACACGGCACTGGGCAGAGCTGGGAGCCACTGTGGCAACCAACACCACTGGTGAGAGAAGGGAGTTCAAGGACAGACAGGACACCTCACTGGTGCAGCACTCTCCCTCCCAGCCTCAGTACCTGCAGCAGCTTGCTGACGCACTGCGGGTGGCCATGCTTGGATGCCAGGTGCAGGGCGGTGTAACCTGGGGAGAAGGACAGACGGACGGGTCAGAGGACAGACAATGTGGCAGAGGGGACCGGAGCAGGGACAAATGGGCACACAGGAGGATCTGCAGGGCTGGGGCTGAATGGGAAAGAGACATCCCCAGGAGCACCATCAGTCAGTGCTTGAGACCCCGTGGGATGCTGGGGCAATTTACAGCCCCCGCAAGTGTGGCCATCACCTCTGTCCCCTTACCCAGGGACAGGGTGGGAACAACCAGGGAGCACCAGTGGCCCTGACTGGTCCATGGCATTAGGAGGGGTGCTTGGCAGCTGTGCCCTCACCTGAGCTATCTTTGGTCATGGCATCCACACCATGAGCCAGCATGGCTTCCAGGCAGTCCACATTCCCCCGCATGGCAGCCAGGTGGAACCTGCAGCAAGACCAGGGGCTGTCGCACTCCTGTCCCCAGCCTTGTCCCCAGCCCTTGTCCCTGGTGTCCCAGGGTTGTGGGTCTGCACTTACGCAGATTTTCCCTCTGAGTCCAGCTTGGTGGGGACCAAGCCCTTGCGGACAAGGAGAGATGTTACCCTCCCAGCATCATTGTAGTCCACAGCTTGCAGGAGCTTCTCATCGTTCTTGGTCCAGTCCTGGCTCTGCAAGGAAGCCAAGAGCGGGCTGTGATGGGTGCTGTCCCCAGGGATAGGCAGGGTGCTGGGCTGGGCATGGGTGCCTGTCCTCATCCCCATCCCTGTTATCTTCCACCTATCCCTGTCCCTTGGGGTGGACATCACTTTTCCTGGGTGCTATGGTGTCTGGCCTCCAGCTATGGGGGTTTAGGGGTTTAGCTGGGACAGCTGACTGAGGTGAGGTTCCTCCACCCTCAAGTTTGCAGCTCACAGACCAGGAGATTTACAGAGCTGCCCCAGTTTGGCTGTGGATGGGCCAGGCTGTGACCGGCTGGGATTTGGGAGCGAGCCAACGCTGCCTGGTTGCCCCTGCCATCCCAGTGACCCCACTGCCAGGGGTGCCTGAGCCCAGGTCTCCCCATCGATCCCATTCCCAGCCCTGCTTTGCTCCCTGCCAAGGAAAGGACTGAGCCAGTGAGAGCACAGTGGGCAGCAAGAGCAGATCTCCTGGGACGGGGCACAATCCTGCGCAGGATGGGGTGACTTGCTGACCCAGTGGTCCCTCCTATCCCGAGGACGCGACCCACAGCGGGCCAGGACGAGCACAGCGAGCCCTGAGTTCACCCCGCAGCTGGTGACGACAACCCGAGCTCGCTGCGGCCGCGGCGGCAGGAAAGGGATGTCACCTTTTGGGAGCTGCTGGCATCCTGCCCCTCGCCAGCCTGGTGCTCAGTGCCAGGCACCAGATCTGTGCCACTCTGGCTGCCTGATGCCCCTGCAACCCCCTCCAGGGTACTCGGTCCAGAGGCAGGGGATAAACCAGTCTCCCAGGGTTACTGGGCAAACTGGGAGGGTGGTGCCCGCTCCCCCCCACACCCTTGTCAT